CCCACCAGCCCTAAACCCTGAACTCCAGACCCTAAACCCTAAACCCTAAACTCCAGACCCTAAAATCACGAAGCCTCACCAAGGGGAGGTAGATGGAAGCGATGGAATCCATCGTCACAAACTGTGCCAATGTGATCATTGCCATGCCCAGGGAGCCTCAATATCGCTAGCGCTTAGGGCTACAGCCGGCCAGGGCTGAGGGTTTAGGGCTTAGGGCTTGGGGTTTAGGGCCTAGGGTTTAGAGCCGGGTGTTATAAGAGTGTTAATAAGGGTTTCTTAAGTTTTTAAATCGGGGCTTCAAAGGGTTGTTTGAATAAGCTGGGGTTTGTTTAAAGCTTTAAGGTTTTACGGCTCGGGGTTCTCTCAGTTCTCCCACTTAAGGGCTTGGCAACCTGTCACAACTACAAGCCTCGCCTAAAGAAGAGACTATGCCAGAGTCCTCATAATTCAAGAACGGTCTAAGAGTCTAGGATTCTGGTAGGGAAAATGGGGGGGGGGGGTATCAAGCGACAGAACGATCTTGCCAAAACCAAGCTACACCACGGCTCAGGCCTGTAAACTTGAGCCGCCGTAGTAAAGTCCTGCCTCGACCTAAGACCTAAGCGTCTTCCACGGTTCGGGCCTGCATGGCCTGCCAAAACTAATCCACACTAGGATACCACCCTAGACTATAAACCCTGCAACCCTAAAACCCCAAACCCCGAAAAACCTAAAACCCCCAAACCCCTTAAATCCCTAAAACCGAACCAAGAAAAGATATAACCCTAACCCTAAATCCGCTCTTAAACCCTAAGCCCTAAAACCCGAAACCCGAGCCCTCAACCCGAAACACAAACCCGACACCCTAAAAACTCTAAGACCTTAAACCCTAAACACAAACCCTGATCCCTAAAACCCTAAACCCCTAAGTAATAATTTGGCTCGTTGAAGGCTTTACCGCAGCGAGGCCTTCTCCGAAAAGCTTGGACTTTTAAGGGTTTTCGGGTTTAGGGTAAAGGGTGTTTTTTGGTATAGGAGTTTTCGGGTTTAGGGGCTTAAGAGTTTTAGGGTTTCGGGTTTAGGGTTTTGAAGGCCTTCAGACTTCTGGGGATAAAGTGTGCAAGGGGTTTAGGGTTCAGGGCTCTCCAGAGACCCTTCGACTACTCTTCGGCCCGCTCCTGAAGTTACGACTGTTTGGAGTTTGGGGCTTTTTGGGTTTCGAATGCCGTTCTTATCATAACTTGAATTAGGTCCCCGGGAGAAACGTGAAAATATGGCTAAATTCTGTTGAAACACTTCAAACCTTTTTCAGAGCCCTATAAAGGAACCCTATAATACCCCTGATAGTAGCCCGAACCCCTTAAAGGAACCCCGAGAGGAACGCACAAGGGCTCTTTTAAGGGATCCTTTTTTCTTTTAGGGATCCCTTAAGGGATCCTTTTTGAAGGATCCTACTTAAGGATCTCTTTTCGTGATCCTTTAAGGGATCCTTTCAGGGATCCTTTTAAGGGTTCCTCTAAAAGGATCCGCTTAGCGGGATCCTTTAAGGGCGGAGTGTTCAGAAGCCGGGGCACTGAAGTTCCGCTCCAGGATGGCGCTGGTCACCGGATCCAGCTGAAAGTTAGCATTCCTCGGTACACTTGCGATTCATCAAACTTGGGACCCTTTCTCAACATCTGTGTGTAGGTAGGCATATGTATGTATGTATGTATGTATGTATGTATGCATGCATGTATGTATGTATGTGTTTGTATGTATGTATATATATATATATACACATACATACATGCATACATGCACACACGTGCATACACATACGCACACACAGTAAACACATACACACATACATACATACCTACCGACCTACCTACCTGCCTACCTACCTACCTACCTACGTACATACATACATACATACATACGTACATATGTACATACATACGTACATACGAACATACGTACATACGTACATGCGTACATACATACATACATACATACATACATACATACCTGTATACATACATGTGTGTGTGTGTGCGCGTGTGCGTGTGCGTGTG